GCAAAAGAATGAAACTGCGATACCTGCAAAAGAGAGCTTAATATCACGATGTGGTGGAAAACAGAAAGAAATAAGGGCAAACTTGGCAATCTATTTTACTTGACTTTGCTTAATGATCTTAAAAAAAAAGATGTGACTTTGCTGTCAAAAAACAAGACCCTTTATGTAATCAGAACTCTTTCCATTGACGTCAGTAACATGAATAATCGCAGACATTAACATAAACAAGCTGCTATCAGCATGTCATGGTCCAACTTTGTTCATACTGGGTGGCATCAGAAGGTTATTATAAATATAACGTAATTTTAAGGTGGAACATGTGTGTGAGAACATCTTTCTCATGATAATAACCTCTATTATCAATTATAAATTATTATTTATAAACTGATAAAATATTAGAAACCTATTGAGTTTTTACTTATTTCATAAATACAGTTTCTGCGGCCTCAATGGGACATGATAATTGAACCACCTCAATGTAGTCAATACAGAAACACCAGTAAATGTGGCTTCAAAATTCATCATCACTTGTAGCACATGCACTTATACCCATACAATTCTGAGCATTTCCTTTTTATTACTACTTTATACTTCTACTCCACTACATTTTAGAGGGATATGTTGTACTTTTTACTCCACTACGCTCACAGTAATATTTAATTAACAAATCAAGACTTTATTTAAAACAACAAGCTTATAAAACACAACACACATTGTTAAAGATTAAACCAGTGGTCCTTACAGAATAGTCTTGTTGCGGCTGCTTGTCACATTTTTGATGTCTAAAAGTGCTTTCAGTTCCACCAAAGAAACATTTTCCCTCTAAACATCTTAGATGGTTTCATTTAAGTATCAACTGAAGGCCCAAAAAGGTCAAATTATCAATTATTTCACACAAAAAAAGCAAAGAATGGGGGTGGACTCTTTCCTAACCCATTAATTGACCCCTCACATTTATCTTGTGACCTTTTGGAGGGGCCCACCCCCTAGGTTGGGAATCACAGGACTAGGCTAAACTATCAAACTGTATATAAAGTGGTTAATACAAACTCCACCTCTGCCATCTCCAGGGTAAAATGTTACATACACATTGAGGCATCAGTATTAACCTTTTGACAATGTCATAATTAATAATATATCCGCCATATCAGTATTTGGTACTTATGTAAAGGATTTGAGTACTTCTACCAGCAATTTCTGACACTGTCAGCAAAAACTGAACATTGCAAACTTCACAAAGATGGGATTTACTGCAGGTCTGTTGTATTAGATTATACAGGTGTACATGACAGGCAGGTAAGATCAAGTGTCATGACTCTACATTTCCGTAGCTCTTCATTGTGTTTTTTATCACATGCACTAGAAACATGTGTTGAGAGTTTCAATTAACAAACCATTCATCACTCTGTTGAAGTGTTTAAAGTATTTTGCAACAGACAGACTGCTGGAAATACTACTGAACGGATGTCAAGTGTGTAAATGTGTAAGATAAGAACATTTAGTTTTGGTGCTGATTAAAAAAAAACATGATTTGTTTGTTATTTTACATTAAATCATTCCCACCACTAGTGCTGAAACAATGAGTCGACTAATCGACTGGTCAATGAGAGAACATAATTTTAACTATTTCAATAATTAATTTACCTTCAAGGTCATTTTCAAGAAAAAACTGCATTTGATGGTTTTAGCTTCTCAAATATCTGGATTTATTATACAGTAAATTTAAAGTCTTTGCATTTTGGACTGTCTAAAAACAAAAGCAATTTGAAGGCTCTTGAGCTCTGGGAAATTAGACTGGACATTTCATTATTATTTTTTTTTAAACCCAACAATTGATAGTGAAATTGAGAAAATGATCTGCAGATAATTAAAATAATTCTTAGTTGCAGCCATAATTAGATTATCGCATAATGATGAGTGATTACTAAACTGCAAAGTAATGTAGTGTTCCCTAGTGAAGTGAAACTAGAAACTGAGATTTTATTAAAATAAGAGTTCCCCTTGCCTTGGCGAATTCCTTAAATGCTGGATTTGTGGACGACCATATCGATTCGATAAAGGTCAAATCTGAATCGATATGGATGAAAGCTCTGAATTGCCACTTTTTTTAAATGCAGTTCGTCGTGGCTGTAGATTCTCTGAAAACAATAAGTCAATGAATTTGTAACAGATGGTATGATGTGGTACTTGTGTAACAAACACGCTGGGTTTACCATCCCCATTTCAAATTCACATAATGTGTGTTTATCGACCTGGTTGAGCTAATCATTTACAGCATGGAGATAAGTAAGTGCCATTAAACTGGCTGATTTGGAAGTGAACAATAGGAATGGACGATAATGGAAACTCACCAACTATCTCGAGAAAAGGACGTGATCAGTCTTATGCCAGGAGCCACGGACGACTTCATTTTCGATGAAAACGTTGTCAGACTTTACACAGAAACAGTCACAGCTTGGTCCCAGACATGTCCTCGAAGTACTGATATATCAACACACTGCTCGACCGGTTGTAACGTAATCTAACTTACTGTAAGGTGAGATTGCTTATTAAGGTGTAACGACAGTAGGCTAGCCGGAGGTTGAAAACAAACGCTTAATTGTTTTGTACTAACGTCACCTAAAGAAAACGGACCTTTTTGGCATGTAAATAAAGCCACTGGTTCACAGGAGACGTTAGCTGCTGGATGAATAAAGCAGCAACCACGCAGCTTCGTGGTGGGAGTCCGACATCCAGCGGCTTTCCATACTGTGCGGCTGAGTTTATATGGCCCGGTCCGGAGAGCCAGCCTACCTCTGTGCAGCTGTAGTAACGTTTCACGTACCGGTTCAAAAAAAATGCCGTCCGTTATTAATATAAAACCATAATTATTGTTAGCCTGAATGTGTTATTCCATTAACATTTTCCAGTCGGCGTCTCTCAGCGACAACGTGATCCGATCTCTGACGTCACGGCAAACAGGAAATAAGTCACAAGAACAGCTGACCATCCAGAGTGGTTCCCAACAGGGGGGTCGGGACCCTTTCTAAGGGGTCGTAACAGGACTATGAAGGGTCGCAGGATGATTAACTTGATCGGAAATACGGAAAACACGTTCTACTTGTGATTTTTTGTGGCTTACCTCTGATGTTAACGTTTTCTTGTGAAAAAAGTATATATATTTGTTAAAGTATTATGAGTAAAACGTGCATAAAGTATAAAACGTAAACGTAGGATGAGCCCCATCAGCTTCAATTCAATTTTATTTATATAGCGCCAAATATAAAAAAAAAATAAAGCTTTATATTATTGTAATGGTCCAATAATATAACGCTGACGTTGATGCATTAACATTTAGGTGGATCAAAATGATTGATTAAATGATAATTTTGATTAATTAAGTCTATGCAACCTTATATCTAATAATAATTTACTCCTGCATCCTTCCAGACTGCTCATTGGACTGTCTTGATCTGTCTATATTGTTTTTGTTTTATGGTGTGTGTGTATATATATATATGTGTTCATTATAATGTAGTCTGTGTCTGATTTTTTATTGTATGAGTAAGCACATCGTGAGCAATGTACGATCCAGTCAAATTCCTCCTATGTGTTCATATATCTGGCAAATAAAGCTGAATCTGATTCTAAATGTTCATGTATACACTCATTTGCTAGTTGATTGGGTACACCTAGCTACAACTAAAGGAGTGTTACACACCAGTCCTGCAATAAATACAACCTTCATGACGGTAATATTATTTTTGTTTAAACTACTGGTTCAACTTGACTATTTGGGAGGCTGCAGTTTATGTTGCTGTTAAACTGTGCTGTATTATTCAGAGAGGTCTATCTGTTATTTAGCCTCAGTATAACAATACAATTTAACAGCAGCTAGGTGTATCTAACCTGAGTGTTTTATTTATGTGAAATCCTAAATCTGAAAAGTAGCTAATAACTATAGCTGTGAAATAAACGTAGTGGAGTAAAAAACTACACTATTAGACATTAGACATGAATTTTAAGCCAATTTACTACAACTGATGTACACAATACTGCAGTATTGTGCCCTCTACAGTGTTTTTGAATGTTTTTTTTATGTTACAGTCTTTAGGTTTTTGTGTTAGGTAATTTCATCTGCACATTTAGATTTGTTATAAATGTGTTATTGCAGTGGTAAGTACACAGTGTCAATTGCATTTATGTACAAAGCAGAGTTGATGTTCACTATGATGGGTTAACCCAGCTCAGTAAAGTAACATTTAATCATATAGATGACAGAACTGAGTTTATTTAATTTTTTAAACACCGCCCTGAAGAACTTTGAAACTTTAAAAAAATCAAAAGCTCATTCTCAGGTTTATGCATCTACTGACTTCCTTGATGCTTTACTACTTATATAAGCTGACTCCATTTATTACATGCAGAGTGTATGTTGTGTACATGTCTTATCAATAAATATAAAAAGTAAATTCCTGTGAGGTTGTATAAACAAAATGTAGACTGAGAATAGACATCTCAGAACCACATCTGTTTCTGGTGAAACATTAATCTGTTGCCAATCTGATGGTGTTCTCAACAGCAGCAGCCAAAATATAAAGTAGTAAAACAAAACACATTTAATATAAATACACAAAAATTTAAAATATAAAATGAATTTAAATTTGGTAAATGCAGCATCATCTGTAAATCATTCTGCATTCATCTACAAATTCATGACTGATTCTCAGAGTATCTGTTGTCCACACAGCTTGTTACACTGTATGAAAAGCTTCTGCTTCAGTTCATTAAACCCCTGCAGTAATATGAAGGCAACAGGACAGATGTACTCATAAATCTGCAACGTCTGACTTCCCATGTTTAATTAAGATTACTCACAGCTCTCCACTGTGTTTATCTTCATTAAATCATATGCAGACGACACCAGGTTGTTACAGAATAACCACACACACCTCCATAGACAGAAGCTATAACTCGGCATTGTGCGTCACAGCCTCTTTTCCAATTAAAAACAAAATCAATTAATCAGCAGTCATGTTTTATTCTTGAAATGAATTACAAAGCAAACACTGCTGTATCACATTTTAAGACACGATGTGACCATTTACAATGTAAAATACAGTAGAATGAATGAAATAGCACCGGATTGATGCGATCATATAAACTGCTTCACCAAGCAATTTTTTTATTATTCCTTTGGACTTTAGGATACATCATCTAGGAAAGATCAATGCCTGGACAAAATGTGCGCAAATCCATCAAGTAGAAATATTTCACAGCATAAATTAAAACTTCGACCTGCTGGTAACGCAAGATGAAGTCATTTGGATTCATCATGTAAAAAACAAGAATGCCTGCACAAAATGTCAAGGTAATCCATCAAATATTAAGTGAAATATTTTAGGCGGGAGTCTAAACACGTACTGGACCTATCTCTGTACTAGACATAAAGAGATAAAACTGACTCTGGGTTACACTGTTTTTCCCCAAAATGTTGGACTGTTCCTTTAAACAGACAGCAAGAAGCCTGCAGTTCATCAGCTTCCTTTACTGTAAATCCAAACTCAACATTGTTGAATGCAACGCCTTGGCATACGCTGTGGAAGAGACAAATGTTACTGTCAACAGCACTGTTATTGTTTCCATGTATAGTTCCACTAAAGCTCAGTGGCGGTGTGTGCAGGGAGTACCTTTGGGATTGTTGTGGAACACACAGTTGTTAGCACAGGTGTCAGGATGGGAGTCCCAGAAAGAGAACGCGCAGCAGCAGAGAGGAGGGAGCTCCAGCTTCTCCTGAGATAGTCGCTCCTTCATCTGAGCTCTCAGAGCTTCAATGAACCTGCAGAGTCACAACCCTTCTGTTTATCAAACGTTCAGATTTACAAATTTACTTTTCTTTCCCAAAGATGCATATATTATTCTCTGGAGTGATTTCACAAAAAAAAAATTCTGATTATGAGCATTAATAGTTGACTGCAACTGGCCCAGGCATTTTGTGCTGTAATATTACAGGTATAGTTACTGTGTGGCCAATATGTTTTACCCAGTTTTTGGTTGTACACAAGCTCAACACACCTGTTTAAACTCTTTTTCGCTATCTGACTGGTCAGGAAAAATCCCTGCACTCAGGTGGTGACACACGTTACCATGGCTACCAAAATAATTGGCATAAATGTAGTTATACATCTCTTATATAGATCAGGAGATCACTTTCAGCTCACAATTAACAGCACTGGTAGTTAAGATTTTGAAATCATTTAAAAACCACACATCTACTGTCACACAGTGCTGTGGTGGTTCTGTTTTGCTTTCACGCCACAAAAAACAAAAATCGCACCCGAGTCCGCTTAGAAGCAGACCCACCTTTTTTGGAGAGTCTCAGCACAGTTGTGTAGTACAAAGTTAAAAGAGTAATCCTTGATTTAGCATTGCACTCACACTATAAAATTGTCAGACTCACTTTGGATGTTTGAGGCAGCAGTAACAGTCTTTTTTATTGCACACATTCTTCTTCCTGGCACTTACATTACCCACAATGCAGTTCCACCACTGACAGTTTGGTCAGAGATTCAGGTGTGTTATGCTAGTAGCAGCTAATGTAGCCACCAGACAATAACCTCAAGCAGAGATGAGGAGTGATGACTTGTTTCGCCATAATGCAGTAGTATTTCCAAAGACCTGTCACCAGACTTTGATGTGTTCCCCTTTAAGTTTTGGCAAATGAATCTACATTAATTACCTTGAAGCTTCTTTCCCTTTCTCTTCTTTTTTCCTCCTCTGAAGCTCCATGGCTCTCTCTTCCTCCTCAAGCTTCAGTCGCTCCAGAATCAGCAGCTCTCGCTCCTCCAGCTTCTGTCTGGCCTCTGCGAGCTGCCGAACTCTCTCCAACTTTCTCTCTTCCTCCAGACGAAGCTTTTCTTTCTCTGCTTTGATCCTTCAGTGAAGACATTGACACTTGAGAGCAGATTTTCACTGAGACCAAACATGTTATTTGCCATACACAGTATTGAGTATTGAGTCATATTTTGGTAAATCAGTGAAATATATTGACGTTTTGATATTTTTGTCTGGTGAATACTTATCAGCACTAACCAATGACTACAACTTTTTTCAAGCTACTCATCTTCATAAAACATTTAGTAGCCATCTAATGACTACTTATACACACATTCACACAAATAAGAGGAAGTGGTGCATGAGAATACTGCAGCCTCGTCACCTTGCAGTCCTCTTCAGGTGTTTCCTGTGCTGTTTGTTGTCTTTCACTTGCTCTCGCTCTATGTTCATGTACAGACGGCGGTGCATCAGGAACTGAAACTGACGCTGCAGAGAGAGACGTGTTATTTGTAAGATCTAATCTGACAGGGTTCAAACAAGTACAGCCAAAACTTCATGCACATGTCGGTCTACCTGTCTTTTCAGTTCTTCTTGGTCAGTCAGAGGCCACAGGACCTGTGGGTTGGACTGGAAACCAGGATCAGGCTGTGATTTGTCAGAATCCCACAACACAGTCCCACTCATCTGAAACATATACACAGTCAGAACTGAGTCAGTACACCAAGAAAATAGGATTTGATTGATCATCCGTTGAAATCAGTAGGTACCCAGCTGCCAACAGTGCTAATTTAAATTGATAACAAAATATTCTTTGTAGATCTTCAGGCTCGCCACTTTATTTTTCTTGTTTGTCAACAAATCCCATAAAAAAACTGATTCTACTAACAACTATGGTCTGTGTGTTCAAAGCCTAATATGGTGTGTTCCTCTGTGCCATAGATCTCCACTGTTGTACAAAAACAATTAAAACACATCAGTGAATCCACACTGCTACACTCGGTGACCTGTTTATTAAATGAAACTACATTATTTTGAGCTGCTTTTAAACATTTACATCTTCAGTCGGAGCCAATAGATTGGAGAGCTAGTGCCGCAGACAGGGTAGGGAAGTTGGAAAGACTAATACATTGTTGGTTTTGGTCTTGTCATGGGATTTATTTACAACAATAAAAATATAGAATATAAGCGGCCTTGTACTTTATCTCATTCAAATGCTTCAGCTGTAGTTTATGGGGTGGTAAATATTAGGATTACAGCCATAGATGGGGTTTAAATCTGCTAATACTTGCAAAGAAGCCAGGATCTACCGCAGGTCGAGCTGCAGCAACTGCTAACTGACTACTAACATAAAACAGAAATAGAACTGGTTGCATAAGTATTCACCCTCTTTACTATGACACACCTAAAATCATCACTGGTGGAGCCAATTGATTTCTTTGTTGGTTCCACCAGTTGCATAAATTGCATATTATGTTGACTGGAGATCAAGTTTAACTTAAACTTAACTGTAAGCTCAACTGTATCCGGAAGGAATAAATCTGGTTACTACATTACCTTTAAAAACTACAGAAACATTGTTAACGGATCAGCATCACTATTAGGGTGTAGAAAAACAAAGCCAAGTATAAACAGCACTGTTTATTGTTGTTGTTGTTGTTCCTTGTTAGTAGCCTAGACATGTTGTGAATGACCAGGTGAAGTGTTTAAGGTTAATGACAATGAAGTCATAGTCATCAGTCATGTGGTGTCAAGTGAAATATCACAACTGGTCCTGTAAACTGTGAAATAATTACACTGTCTGCTGTTCAAAGGGCTATCTCATGGTCATAAACTATGAACTATTTGGGTTGATTATGAGTTATGAGAGCCACCTAAAGACAGATTTTAAGACGTTTTAGGTTTTGTGATGCTGGACTGTCTCATTTGGAATGATGGAAATCCATCTTCACAAGTTGCATCCTTTGGAGGATCCTGCCCCTGACCTCGGACATAGCTACTCTTAATAACTCACATAAATCTGGTCTGTCTGGGCTTTTATGGTCTGCTGAAACCAAAGTTAATTATTTGCCTCTACTAAATGCTTTGTTTGGCATAAATGAACACCACACAAGCAGAAATACAGCACTCCAACCATAGAGCTTTTAACTTTAACTCCTTAACTCTTGTCAGACTTTACATCTACTATCACATCACAAAAAATAAACACCACATTAGTCAAGCTTTGTCTGCACTACACAACATATCTGATTTAAACTGGTGCTACAATTGAAAAGTTACTGAGGAATAACCTTGTCAAATGTCTGAATATCAAACTTAAAAATATCTACATCTCACTGTTACTTAACCCGTGTTTGTTTACATTTTGGCAAATCTGTTTTAAGTAATGCTGCTTTACTTACTAGCAGTTTCTGTTAAAACTGAAGTTATCATGAGAGCCTTTTTGTGTGATTTCTAAGCCAATTTATGAATGTTTCATTGACACCGCTACCAATGGAAAGAGTGAGTACAGTATGAAGTTAGTATTATTATTATTAGTTGCATCTCTACTTGAAACATCCCTCTGAACCCGTAGCTGATATGGCCATAGAAACAACGGTTTACAGGATATTGGTCTTGGATATTATGTCTCCACATTAAGCATCCTAGATAAGTTTACTAATAAAACTCACACATGCTGAACCATGATGAAAGGTGCCACTGCTGCACCATGGGTATTCATTAACCTTCTGCTGAACAAGGGGACATTCGTGTCGACTGGTGAAGAGATGATCATCTCCCTCTTCCTCAACGTCCTCCTCCTCTTCTTCCACTTCCTGCTCTGCTCTCAGCACGTGAGATTCAGCTTTCTGTTGGGAGCAGATGAAAATATTTTTTATTACAACCTGGATGTGCACAGTTATAGGAAAATGTTTTTAAAAAAGAGGAACAAGTGTGAGACACAGGCACTCACATGTCTGCTCGGAGAGATGTTCCATTTGCCTCCGGGGAGGTCTGACATCATTTCCCCATGCGGGATCATTCGACAGGCAGCTAGTCTGAGTCTGACCTGCCTCATGCCTTCACTAGACTGGAAAACCATAGAAATAAATAATCCTCCAGATTAATCACTGTCACATTATTCTATCACTCACACGAGGAAACAATGCAATCATTATGACTGCCAAAAACAAACACACAATGCGTTTGAGATTCACACTATGTCCTGCAGAAAATAGGACCACATAGGGCTGACTATACAGAAGTTAGAAGTTAGTCTGGGTCCCTGAGCAGACTTTGATCATCCATAGTAAACATAAGAGCCTGACAAACCCTCGTTTTCTGAGGCAGATTGAGGCCAATATTGATTCAAAAGATTTTTTGACATCCTCACATAAAATAATGAAACATTTTAAAAGGATTTCTTAAATTTGGCTGTTAAACAACTGTGACCAAGAGATATGTACTGAGGGAGACATTCTACACTTTTACACTCATTGGTGCTCTCTAATGGATAAAATATAACAGATAAACTGTTTCTGAATTATGGAGAAGGGTCCGGCTGCAGCTTGTACAGAGTCAACGCAAAGAAGATTTTTCATATTGTCTGCTTACCACTGATGTATTATTACAACTCTTATTCTTTTATTGCAGTAAAACATGAGATTCCTTTGCTAAAACTTCAATTATGTAATCATGCTCTGGGGTGGAAGTGCTATATACTACCATCTCACCTCCTGAGGGCTCCTCTCCATCACCCTCTGTTGTACAGCACCTCCCGCAGACATCAGTTTATCACCAGCAGACACATGTTGGGTCCAGACTTGATACTGCTGTTGCAGGATTTTCCTATCAGGTTTCATCTGGACATAAACAGTGTTATAATGAGGACGTCAATCAGGCAGAGACATCAGCAGTGTGGGCAACCAAATAGTACCAAAACAATTAGTCGATTAATTGATTAGTACATCAATCCACAGAAAAATTTAACAATAATTTTCAATGTGAGGATTTGCTCTTTTTTCTGTTTCACACCTTTATGAACTGAATATCTTTAAGTTTTAGACTGTTGGATAAAGGAATTTAAAAGATGTGAGAAATTAGTGGCATTTTCACTCTTTTCTACCACTTTACAGACTAAATGTTTCATTGATTAATTGAAAATAAAATAAGATATTCAACATTGAACATACTCGAATGTGCATTAAAACAAAGTCATTAAGAGCTCATTTTACCCAAAACAGCTGTCTCCCCTGATTGATTTATATGTGTTCTCATTAATACTGTCAGTCAAAATAATGTTATCTTTACCACTGAGTCTGCCTGAGGCTGCTGTCTCTTCTTGCTGACTTGAACTTGCTGTGCCACACGATGACGTACTTCATCTTGAAATTGTCGAAGGCTCTCTTCAGTCTCCCTCCTCTTTTCTGCCTGGATCTTTTCAGTTTGTAAAGCAAGAGCCTATACCAAGACACAGGAAGATGTCAAATTGGGCTTTTGAAAATTGTTTTTTTATAATTTTTTATATAGTTTTTGGACCAAACAAATAATTGAGGAAGTAATAAACAGATAAATCAATAATCAAAATGACTGTTGTTGGTGTTTTATAAAATTTTTATTATAAGAGGTAAAATTAAGTTAGACCTTGGTGGGGTCTAATTGACCTCAAACATAAACAAAATCACTATGTAAGATAACTATTTTAGTGCAAGGAATGCAGTACAGCAATGCCAAACTAGGTTTGAGGTCATTTAGAAAGTGTCACCATTACACAGTCTGTCCACCAGAGTGCACTGACAAGTTTATTATGAATCATAGTTACAATTCTTAAAAAAACACATCTACATTGTACACATTACAAATATAGCTCTCCATTTACTTGGTGGGGGGCGATTACAATGTTATCTGGCCCTAAAAAGAGAATTCACACTCACAAATTACCTGAGCACAATATAATGTCCTAAACTAAGAAAACGTTGACTACATACAGACTCTGTGAACACAGCCTGGCCATAGAAAAGGGTCACTTCAGAAAGAGCTGGCTACCTGGAGAGGAGAGACTCTGAGGATAGGTAGACAGTTTCTCACCTCATGTCCTAAACTCTAAAACATTTTCTGATTTCCAATCTAAATCAGACACACAGAAACTCCCTACTTACTGGGAGAAATGCCCAAATGCCAAATCCTTACAGCTAATTTTTTTTCCTCATATCACGAAAAAAACCAGTGGAAACAAATAATTGTTGTTGTTTTTATAAAATGACCGTAATATTATCACAATTATTATAGCTAGCTATTTTAATAATTGTTATTATTAGAGAATGTGCTACTTCATGTCAAAAAGACATTTTTATTGTTTACATGTGACTTTCGGGTTTGGCAACATTAGTGTACCTAAACATTCATGCCAATAAAGCATATTGAATTGAATTCAAAACCCCAGCTCAACAAAACACAGGGGTGATAAACGTTAAACTCTGCTAAACTCATCACTTCCTAAAACCTGCAGGTTGCCTCAGTTATTACTGAACTGTCTCCCAACAGCTTGGCAACAGCTAAGTTAGCTTTGGTCATTAGCGTTACAGTTAAAGACCAAACTCACACACGGGTGCTCCGAGAAGTCTTGTCCGCCTTCCACCCAGGCTCCCACCGCCACCACCGCCTGGTTCCTCTCGGCCAGCACCTTGTTGGCTCTGGAGGCTGGGAGCTCCGTGGTCCGGCTGGCTGAAGCTTTACACCTGTCGTGTCTCGCAGGTTTAATCCGGCTGGTGCTCATTGGTAACGTTAGCCGGGCTAATTCAATGTGATGCTAACTCACTGCTAAAAATATCTTATCTCGGTAGTCAGTTGGCGACGTTAACGTTATACGTTACGTAACGTTAAAGCGGTTTCGTTGACTGTATTATTCAAGATATTCGTCCACCACAAGGAAAACAAAGGAGAGCAAAGCAAACACACCCGTAACATCTGTTAAAGCACAACAAACTACCGACAGATCTGTTTGAGTTTCGCTCACTTAATCTTCTTTTACTTCCTGGCGTTTAGCAAACTGCTCACTGGCGCATTACTGCCCCATCTGGACAGGAGGCGACATTGTGAAAATTCATTTTGCCAAAACACGCAGAAAGGGAGGGAGGTAAAACAGTGGTGGGGGGTTAAAATATGTACTTATGACTTAAATATTTTACTTTAATGTCTTTGTTGTTTGTTAAGGTCTGCTTTGTTTTTTGTTTATAGTTATGTCCTGTTCTATTATTAATTTGTTGGTCTATGTACTTTAGTTTTGGCTAAACATCTTTGTAAGCCACAAATTCAAGATTCAATAAAGAAAGAAAAAATAAAAATTGGGGAGTAACTTAGTTACACTATTTAACTACAAAATGTATTTAACAATAAGCCATTACAGTTCACGATAATACACGTCTTTGGTGTGAGACCCAGTTCGATTCTCTCTGTGACACATCCACCAATGTGTCCCTGAATAAGACACCTAACCCCTTGTTGCTCCAGAGGCGTGTGACCTCTGAGGTATATATAGCATTAGTAGGATAAAAGCCTCATCTTTGTAAACGTAATGAATGACTGATAAATTAATGTAAATGAGTTTGCACCACCACCCGCCTGATAATTAAAATGCCTCTCAAGCTGTCTTTAGAAAATGGTTAACAGTTGAAAACATTCATTAGACATTTAGAAAAGTAATTCTATGTAGTTAGTTTACTTTAAAATAGTTACACTACAATTACATTTTAAATAGGGTAACCTATTACATTTCCAAAGTAACCTTCCCAACACTGGATCAATATCAACTAATCCATCCTCACATACAAAAAAAGTTTTAAAAAAGTATTTTATTAAATTAATAATTAAATATAGCTCAGAAAAGCAGGAGGCTTCAATAATCGCATTCACACCAGCTCTTCTCATAACAAGCTGCAGGCAGTTTAATGAGCAAAGAGCATAGACTGTATAAAAGAGGCAGAATCAAGTTCAGACATATGGTCCATTTTATTTCTCTGTCGTTTTTCTTTTTCTTCTAATTTTGGTAGTCTTTATTATGTCTGGTCTGAAGGCTGAAAGATAGCTAAAACCCTCAGAGTCAGCTGAACAGGCTCAGACAAATTGTTCTTTTCTCTCAGGCTCTGACCTGTTTCTGCAAACTCTTCAAAGTCACACTGCATCGTTTCAGCTTTATTGTCCTACTCTGGATTCATTGCTGCACAGCTGACTGGAGATCAGTGGGAGCATGAACACATACTAAAAGATGCATGTATACTGATAAAAGGCTTTCTATTCTTATGCTAACCAGAGGCAGGATCTTCTGAATGTGGGTCATTCTAAAAAGCTTAAGAGATTATAGTTATAGTGATACTCAATGACATATTTAGATCTTTTTTAGTACAAGATTAAGAGACTGAGATGCCATTAATATTGCAAGCATTCAGTCATAAATCATAAGTTCAATATTTTCACCTGCTAGTGGCACTAAATAAAAAAATCAAGGGATCGTCAACATTGATACAATTCACCCTGCAGAAACTGCATCTTCGGGAATCAGGGGGATAACAACACAAAATTATTTTCAAGTTACAAAATCTGGGGCATAAATGTTTTTACCTTGTTGAACTCTTTTCACATGAACCCTTTTAGAATCTCCGCCTGTGTCTTCTTCCTTTACTCACCTGACAATGTGATAACCTGTAATTCTACGTAGTGAAAAGATGGGAGCGGTTTACAGTGGTATTTATGATGCAGGCACACTGTAGCTCCCTCATATGATTGCTTCAGAAATTGGAACAGCAAATTGGTACATGCAAATTCTAATTCCCATCTCTTTGTTACTACAATATAAATTAAGTATATCATTCAACTACTTTCATTCAAATAAAGTCTTTCTTTACTTAATTTCTTTATTTAAAAAAATGACAGTATTTTACCACAGGAAAATAAAATGAAATGTCTATTTTCAGATATAAAGATTGCTCTGAATGTTGGTGGTTGTGACAAACTTGCGAAGAACGTCTGTGCTCGGAGACGGGTCCAGCTGAGGAGACAAACAGAAAAGCAAGAGATTAAAATCTTCAAAATGAGGAGAGCAGGGAAACACTTTAGATCTTGTTCACATTCCTGTGAGTGACATTCAAATGTTGGTTGACAGCTAATATTAAATTTGCGTTTAAACAGCCTCCTCGCTGACATTGACTGATACATGAGACAAAGTAACTGCAATGTCCAGGCAGAAAAGCAAGTGATTCATCATACATTAGTTTTTGTGGAGTCTACAGATAAGAGCAACACTGTTACATTTGAAATCTTCCTCACCCTGATCCCTCGCTTTTTAAGAGGCCACTCGCAACTCGTATGGTACCAGGTAATATAAAGTAATGAGGGGAAGTTAAGGAGAGCTAATGCGTGGGTCGAGCCTTTATTGTCATTGTCAACAATGTTGCGTGACTCACAGTTGGAGCACATAGAAAACATAGAAACTTAAACTTAAAAAAATATCTGGTTCTTTAAGTCGAAAGTTACAAGCCAGTGCACATTAACAACTTCAGGGGAGAACTACAACTCTCATGATACATTGAGGCCAGAAACATCCAATCACATAGCTTAAAATTCTGTAACATTATATTGTTGAGAAAACTAAAAAACACCAACTGCAGCCTAAAGTAATTCACATAAGAATTCAGCAACTATGGTACCATATTCTGTTAACAGATTCAACAGCTATGGGGTTTTAAATTCGCCACAGCTCTTATTTGCGCCTGTAACTGTGTGTCTCTCCATGACAATGGCGGCTAAGGCTCATTGAAGTATTTACAGACATCTCGTATACCAAAATGACAGACAAAACCTGATTTCACAGACAAATTGACATAATGAAAACCGGTGGTCATAACATAAGCCTATATGATCGTTACATTATCTGTGTTTCTGTTTAGTAACATTGGGGATATCTTTTAATGGGAATACAGAAAAGGTTATCGCACTCCTCCAACTCTTTTCCCATCAGCAGATAAAACGACAGGAAGTGCAGCTTTAAGTGCAACTCAGGTTCTTCTTTCTGACCACTCAGACCTTTCAAAAGCCCCATAAGATATAAAAATAAAAGCAGCTCACCTGTATGGACTTGCCAAGCTTGGTTAGTGCAGGCTTGTAGGTCTCCATGGTGACAGAGTCAGGGCCTATGACATCACTGTAACACTGGTAAACAACTGTACTGATGCGATGGACCTCGCAGTGGTTCAGCACTGATGAAACAGCACAAAGAAGAAGGAGGATATCAAATGACTACATCTTTATCCTGATGATACATCTGTTTGTTTGGACTTTCAGTGTCTTTAAGTGCACCAACACCCGAACGACCGAATCAGGATGCAAGACTGTGTGCACTCCATTGAGTGGAGAGGAGCCTAATGGCACTACATTTCATTCAGTCGGCAGAGGCTTTTGTCCAAAGCGACTCACAGTTTATCACCCCACACACACACACATCACAAGTAATTTGCAGTTCTTGCTCAAGGACATGGTTAAATGTGGGTTTATATTCAGGGCTAACAGGAGTCCCCTATATCATGCTTTATTATCTTTACTTCCAGGTAACATTATTTCGCTGAGTCCCATTACTGTTGTTTTTTTGGTGGTCGTTTTGTGGTGAAAACATCATAAAGTCATTTTGAGCTTAACTGAAAAGGATCCAGAGCTGTGAAGCAGTCTGTCCTGTCAGTCTGCAAAGCTAACGTATGCTTCAGCAGCTACAGAGCAGAGCTGTCAACAGTTGTCAGTCTGATATCAAACACTGTCAGAGGAGAGTTACCACACATTTGTCATTATTACCATAACTGACCGACTATCCAGCCTTTCTCAATGAATATAATGTTTTTCATTAGGTATGTTTACTTAGAATTTGAATTTTACCACCTCATACTTGGCACAAACTTAGTACAAATGTATGTTGTTTAATTAATATAATATTTTATAATATAATCTAGACCACAAATACAATTGCACATATTGCAACTTTACATTTAACAAGTGTCGTCTTACTGTTCAACTCAATTTAAAATAAAGACATTAGCTAGAACCAGCAGGATTCCAATTTACCGGCGCACAAAACACAGAGATGTCTCTTTAAACTTTAAGGAATGGTGCACAGAGTTTCAAGACAGGTGGTTGTTTTTTCTTTTTGAAGGGTTTAATGTAAATGCTTCCCCTCTCATCTGCAAGAAGTAAGCTGCCTTTCTCAAAATCTCAAGAGGCACTACTATATTATTATTATTGTCATTATTATTATTATAATCATCATCAACATCAAGTATGAAAGACATAGAAGAAGAAGAAGAAAGAAGGAAAGCTGAATTGTGCAGCTTTGAAGCGTCTTTGGTTTCTTTGTGTGTGTTTGTAAATCTGAGATACGATAAGAGAAAAACCTGGACCCCAGATTCTGTGAGTGTGAGACACTTGAAATAGAGAAACTCTTCCAATAGCAGTACCTGCAGCTGGAAGTCCAGTAACTATGTTGGGTTGCTCCAGTGGCTGGCAGACAGCCCGACCTCTGAAAGCACCGGTGTGGAGAGAGCGCAGGAAGGGAGCGGAGCCTCCCGACAGATAGTCTGCTGCCTTGTACTCAGCCACAGAGCTATCTGACAGCACTGTCACATTCAGCTCTCTGTGCTGCAGACAGTCAAAAACCTAGAAGAGACAGGGAAACACACAGTCAACTCAGCACAACATCACCTTTACCGTGTTGATCACCCTGAAAAACCCCTGCATGTTTGACTTTTACCATTGTAATGTAACTCTGTGGTAAACAATGTTTGAAGTGAGTCAGAGGACAAATAACTACTGTACATTCAGTCGCCACATTTCTGATACTAGGTAGGATAGCCCTTTGCCCCGAGAACTAGCCTCAGTCTTAGTAGCCTTGATATTGATTACATATAAGGTGCTGGAAACATTTCTTTAAGATTCTGCTCCATATTGACATGATATGATCTCCAGTCCCACCACAGGGGCTCTGTTGGACTGATATCTGGCCATTCTGCTCTGACCTCTCTCAATGACAAATCATTTTCACCCACAGAAGTGCCGATGGGTGTTTTTTGTTTTTCCCACCATTCTCTGTTCACTCTGGAGACTGTTCTCTCTTGTTCAGCCATGGCATCTCAATCCACTGTCAGAATGACTTAAATCACATTTCTTCCACATTATGAACCTACAACTGAATCTCTTTATCGTGTCTACATGTTTTTATGCACTAAGTTGCTGATTTGATATTTGCATCATGGATACAGGTGTACCTAATCAAGTGGCCAGTGTTGAGATATATATATATATATATATATATATAAAAAATATCTTACAAGAATTTGTTTTTTTAGGACAATTATGTACAGGGCATTAATTCTATGTATTTTATAATTGTGTTGTGTGCTCCTTCTTTATCCAACAGACTTTGAGCTGATATAATCCAATGAAGTCTTCCTGTTGTACATGGTTTCAAATCAGTTTGCCATCTGTTGTTTATATAGTTTAATCAAAGTACCTTTTCTGTCCACTGGAAAAGCTGGTCTTCTGCAATGTAGCAAGTCACTTGGCATATCAAAACCTTCAGGGAAAGAGATATTTTATGGAAAATAAGTGGATTAAAGACACACTTATATTTGTCTGAAACATATACATGTAACTCAAAAACAGGGAGGACTGATAATATTGATGGATGACAAATTAAAAGGAAAACCCCAGCACATTCTTTTCCTGACCAGGAAATCCTATCTTTAAGAGCGACGTAAACAGGTGGAGGTTTCTTTCAAATGAGGCAGTGCAAAGAGAGGGGTAGTGTTTTGGTGAAAATTGGGTCTAGTTGCACTGAGGATAGACATCTAAGGATGGTTCTTTCAACACAGACAAACTTAGTACTTGGGAGGAAACACACCTCAACAGAGCTGCACAATTAATCGAAATATTATCAGAATCGCAATATGGCAAGTGCAATATCCAAATTAAACAACAAACAAAACAACATCAGTGATGTAGTGCTGCAGAGATGCCCTGGCCCATAGTAGGTTAGTTTCAGTGAAATTTAAAAATTGACAATTTCCACTAAACGTGAACAATTTCACAAATCATACTACCTGTCAAAAATAGTTGCAATGTGATTTTTTTTTACCATATCGTGCAGCACAACATCACAGCTATGGACTAATCTTAAAAACTGAAATAAACAGTTTTCATTGAACAGATAATGAGCAGATTATTTTCTACATGTTTGCTCTATGTAACATCACTTTGAAAAATACCCATCACAATATCCCAGGACATCTTATTTAGTCCAACTAACAGTCCAAAATACAAAGACAAAGAAAAGCAGAGAATTCTCACATATGAGACCTCAACCATCAAATATGTGGCATTTTTGCTTGACTTAAAACAATTAATTGATTATCATAGTAGTTGCTAATTAATTGTCTTTAATTCGTCAAAGTGATAAATCAAATAGACAAATCACTGCAACTCTATACCATATATACTCTAACCCCAACCTGGGGACCTCTGTTGTCTTTCTCTCCCCCTTCATTTTTAGTCACCTCTCTACTGTCCACTGTCAAAAATGCCCCAAAAATACTCCATTTGAATGAGCATTAAAAATCAAGGTTGTGATAACAGGAATTTCTGTAAATCAGTAATCCATATTTTAATAGGTGATAATTACAGTTTCTGTTATCCACACCTGCTTTGTACTCTGTGACAGTCTTCCCCTTCAGTTCATTAAATCCCTGCAGCCATCTGAAGGCAGCAGAACAAGAATGTGTGATAAATCTTTAGCTTCTTCAGCAGCGCGGTGCTATCTAACACACGGCCATTAACTAGGTTTATCTTGATTAAATCACGTGCAAACGACAAGAGGAGTAGAAAATAACCACACAAGCCTCTACACACATCAGAGCGGTCGGTTATAACTCTGTATTCTGACAGTTTATGCAACAGACGCCGGATTAGCAGGACTCATTAATCCTGTGTGTCATGGCCTACTTTCAAACTTCTGCAGCTGAAGTGGGGTTTAATGTTTTATTCTCGAAACACATCACGGTGCAAACGCGGCTGTTTCAGATCAATTATGATAGAAAGGAGGAGAGTTGTACTGAAGCGGTCATCATCTTCAACAAACTATTATTGTTTCTATGATTAACTTCTATTGTTGTTAGAAGAATTTCACATGTTCGTAGCATGACAATGAACAATTATAATGCACATCTCAAACAGCACTTCAGAAAAATGAAATAGAGGATCTGTACCAAGCTCATTTAACTGAACAACACTCAGGAGATTTCTGTGACGTTACCAAAATAGCAGCCACATTGACAGACACTCTCAGCTCTTTTGCTCGGTGTGTCACTCACTGATGGGTTTTCCTTGTGTCTGTAGAAAACACATGCTGACTCCTCGCTGGTCTGCCCAGTTACAGCCCGGCTCCTCTCGTTCCACACTGATGCACGTCCCACTGCATCCCAGTTTGCAGAGGTGAGAACGTACACTGACAGAAACCCTGTGAAGACAGATCCTCTCAGCATTCAACAACAGCTCACATGTGACAGGAGTTTTTCTCTTTTCATAATTTATTTACTTGACATTGTGAAACTATATATATAATTTTATTAATTAATAAGTTACTGTTTGCCGTATCAGACAGGCGTAATTGCCCAAACGAAAACATTGCAGTTGTTTTGCTTTTATGATCTTAACTGTAGTACTTTGAGATTTGCTTCAAATGTAAAGTGCATTACAAATAAAAGCTAAATATGTGAAAATAGGCCCCGGGTTTAAACATACCGAAAGTATCCTTTACCATCTATCAATTAGAGAAAATTAATGGCCAACTGACTGTGAGGATTTAGCTTATAATAACTAATTCAACATTTTGGAAAATTCACTTTTTTACTTTCTTTCTCAGCGAGATAAGAAGATCAACAACAATCTCATGTCTTGTTGTTAAGTACGAAGCTGTGTGGCTATTGTTAGCCTAGCTTAGCATAAAGACTGAAAGCAGGGGGAAACAGCTAGCCTGCCTCTGTCATCAAGTTAAAAATGTCAACCACCTCTAAAGTATGGCTGGGCGACATGGCCAAAAATTACCATCATCATACCATTCCATATCTATAATTATCACCATAAATGTTAAATCATCATTTCTTTCAAGTTTAATGGCTGATTTTTCCTTGAGTGAAAATTTAAGAAACCAGATAATTAATTGTGTGGTTAAACTATTCTTTATGGTCAGAACATGAAAAAACATCTTGCGCCCAACAGTGGATCACTTAACATATCAGAGGTAGAACATTCAAAACAATTATTTAAAAAAATAATTAATTAAAAAAAATAATAATTAATTAAAAAACAAATATGATAAGTAAATTTTTTTCAGTCCCTTCTTCTCAACAAAATAAATATATTAATAGAAAAATTAAGTGCTAATTTCTTTGTGAATCAAATTTATTCAATCATATTTTTTTACGATATATTAAACATTTACTATATTGTGATTGAGGAAAATTATATTGCGATAATTATCATTATTAATTTATTGCCCAGCCCTACTCTAAAGTTGAATACTTAACACGCTGTATCATACATAAACAGAAATTTAAAAACAACAAAACTTACTTCATATATAACTCCACTTAAACCATTTTGCATTTCTGTTTATGATCTGCAGCTTTAAGTTTCATTAAGAATTTAAATTTCACTGTTCTCTGCTGACCTGTAGGGGGTGCAACTGTACCTGCTAAAATCTAAATTCTGTATCCCAATTTCACAATTGTAATAATGAATTTATTACAAAACTTTACTAAAAACAGTATGTTGTGTGGTTTATCCCATTTGTCTAGACAAGGAGAGTAAATACAACTTTTAAAAAAAAGCTAATACTGTTTACTATTTCATGTTTATGTTTTTAGCAGCCTTCACCGGCAAGGGTTTTTCATCAAGGGTTTTTGAAAGCAGAGATAACGGCAAAAAAATTGGAAAGATGATATAAGAAGAGCGTGTCAGGGGATATAATGGATAAGGGAGAAATACACACTACTGCTGTTAAAATCAGAAAGGGGTGTGTAGAAAACCCAAGAACCCGTTTAATTTAACAGAAAACCTGATTAAAGATTGAATTGAGATAAAGAAGCTGGTGGAGCAGAAGCTAGACCAAAAGTGAGATCAGGACTTCAGCTGTCTTTTAAGTACTACTGTTTGTAGTCCTGAAACATGGAAGTACTGTGTTTGAACAATGGATTCCATCCTCTCTCTCTCGATGGCCGCCCACTCTGAGCCATTTCGGAAAGCGGGATTAATGAAAATTCTGTTGTAAATTGCTGTATGTTAAGCCTGAGATAAGGGAAACTCTGAGTTTTCCGTTTCAGAGAGTGAGATCAGATGGTCCCTAGATCAGTAACTCCGGCAACTGATGCTGCGAACCTAACCTCCTCGGGTTCACAGGATAAGTTGGAAAACCGTCAGTTTCTCTCTGACACCCCCCCTCCTGCGGAGCCTGAGGCAGCTGTCTGACACACCGTTTCATTTCTTCATTCATTCTGTCCATATCAAAGCAAAAATCTGAATGCATTTACATCTTTAAAAACTTTTAAATCCCGGTTAGATAGGCTATTAGTTTTTCACCCAAACATGATCTTGAACATGAACGCTTAATCTGTCATCGATGTACGGACAGATCTCCGCACATCGTGGATTTATTTCAGGACAGAATAAAATCTATGTCCGTCTTTAACGCTGTGACTCTGTGGACAGTCGCACTGAAAACACTTAATCACTGTTTAATATGTAACCTATAAAACTTTCATATTGCAGTCGCACTGATTGGAACATTTCTATCTTAGTTCTCAACTGGAGATAATGTGACTATTTCTGAGTGAGGATAACTGTGGTGTCACTGAAAGGCCTACATAAGGTTTAAAAGTGAGTTTTTCTTTATTCGCTGCTGATAGTCTGTGTTTTTACAGCATTAATAAAATACAAAAAGAGCAAGATTTTATTAATGTAAAATAGACATCTAAAACTTTACAGTCAGTTTGAACCTATAGACACATTTTCCACTGCAAAAAATAATTAATAGGCTAACATGCTGGGTGTGACTGTGACTTTACAATCACAGGTTCACAAGTAAACTGTGTCTTATATTTGATCTATAGCCAACCTATTTTCATAATTAGGTAGCCGACTGCCACCAGCATTTAGTCCCGTCAGGTTACAGCTTAATAAATATGGCCTTCCTATATAAAATCGAATGTAACAGGCTATAGCACTTAATCATTCATTAAGGAAAGTCCAGTCTGGTAAATGATTAATGAGCAATGCTGTATAGGAGCCTAATAATGTTAACGCATTGATCCTTCTTCCACTTCTGTATTTTAGAGCCTATCATGGTCCTAAATTCAGAGTTTGTTAAACCTGCTTTCTGGAACAGGGCCCTGCTCTTTCATGAAAAGCGCTATGAGATAACTGTTGTTGTGATTTGGTGCTCTATAAATAAAATTTAATTTGATTTCCCTCTACAAATTTCTTAATATATTTTCAATCTATACAGAAAATAAGGTATGTGGTTCAGCCTAAACCATTTTTTACATTTCCATCTACAATGTAATTACATCCAGCACAATCTCAACCATAAATGTTTAAGCTGTAAAGTTGCTTTTATTTACATTAATTGCATTTGTAGTTTGAATCGGATTTAAAAACTGTGCTGATTTGATATTAATAGGTTTCAATAATTTCTGTTCATTACCAATCAGAGAATTTACTCATTACTGAGTTCATCATCTTTAAAAGCTTGTCGCTGGATTACTCTGTTCTAATTTCCTCACAGGATCACTAAAGTTTAATTTGATCTCTGATAATATTGGGGGTACTGTTAGAAGGACTCATCACAGCTACAGAGGCCTTGGGATTCAGGAAGCTGCTGGCAGACACTTACTGGCAGCGTTGTGCCCCACAGCGAGGATGAAATCTGAACACTGCAACTTGTTTCCAGACGTCAGTGATCCGGAGACTTCAGGGCTCCAGTGTAGATGAACCTCCCTGATGAAGAGTGATGTAGGATCAGAGAACAGTTTTGGAAAACACTGCAACTAAACATCTAAAAGATTTTTACTGAACTGCAGCAAGTAGGTAGGAGAGAATAGCAGCAGGGATGTTGTACAAAAATGGAATAAAGAAGTAACCACCTTCCTTACATCAGGTGTTTCCATTTTTATGGGCTTGTTTTTCAAGTCTTCCTCAGTCTTTATTACTAACACAATCTTTGTCTGCTCAAATGAATCCTCTTCGATCCATGGCCAACAACCAGAACACCCTCTACTAACACATACTGCACTTAGGAACAATTTTGAGGTATTTGTCCTAGAGTATTTTCAGTTTATGCTACTTTGTACTGTGTAGCAAGTGATGTTTGGTAATTCAGTTGTAACTTTGGAAATTTGCACCACTAAAAATACTGCCATGATGACGGTTTTAAGGTGAAAGTGAAACCTAGGATAAAGAAATGCCTGTTTTAAGGTAAGACATCTCACCCGGTTACTCTGTCTTTATGACTGTTTAATGAGTAGTGAAAATGTTTGTCAGGCTCTGAGATCAGTGCTTTGGTGATTAGTTTGACATGCATTTAACTTTTCAGCAGTGTTAATTATGATCATTTTGGAGCTTTTACATTTGTGGAGCTTTTACATTTGTGGAGCTGTTGAATTGTATTGTATTATACAGACAGGTATTTCTGTTATGTATAGAGTTGGGGGGTAAGTAGTTACATGTAATTTAGTTAGGTAATCTAATTTCAAAATAAATGTAACCGAAATCGGTTAAATTACAGTAACTTATGAAAGTGTTTTTGATTACATCTTAAATATTTTCTGTAAAAAGCTAGGCTATATGTTGAATAATTTTGTGTAGGAGTTTTCTTTGCAACATTTAGAAAGTAACCTTCCAAACACTGGTTATGTAGCCTACCGTCATTGATTAAATAGGGTGGACAAAATAATAGAAATACCTGTCAATACAATAGAATATTCTACAAAACTACAGCCCCCAAAAGACCTCTCTAAAACGTTTTAAACATAATCAAACATTGTCATCAATGTAGGCTTGTTGTATTAGCCTACATTCGTTTTAGACAGGTGTACCTAATAAACGAGAAACTGAGTATGTCTTTATAGCAGAAGTTATATTTGTTGACAAATACTGTAAGTTACTTTAACAAGCAGAAACAAGTGTCTTTATATCTAACGTTACGTGGAAACTAAATTATAGTGTAACCGTGTATTAATGAGATATTGGCTAGTGTTATTAATGTTAACGTTTAAGCAGTAGTCTATAAAAGGGAGGGGGTGTTAAAGTAAAGTGTTACAGAGATTTCATGTGTCATGTTAGCTAACGTTAGCTATAGCCGACAACAAGTGTGGTGTGTCTTACAAATAAAATATAAATCCAAGGATGCGGGCAACATTACAATTTTATGTCTAAAAAGCAATTTCACCAGTTCACTTCACTGAATGAAACGTTACTAAATTGTATTTAACATGTCCATGCTTTCTGGTTTATCACTTCCTGTCTCCGTGCTATTAGCGGGCTAACGTTATTTACCTCTTTTCCTCAAGTTCTCTGCGGATTTGTTCATCCTCTTCGTTTTCATCGAGATCCTCGTCATCTTCCTCCACGGCACGAGAATACACAGACAAAACCTCGCCGAAAAACGTTGCCATTATATTTAGGTTTCCAGACAAAAGCTAAAGTTTGGCTAGTGATTCAGACCAGAACTGCAACCATTACATACTTCCGCCAGCAGCAGCAACCCTTCAGAATAAAAGCTTCAAACCTGGAATCCTTCAGAATAAAAACGCAATTCGACAAACTAAAATCAAAACAAGATATGGCAGACAACACGGTAAGACTTTGCTTACATTTACATTTTACAGGAGCACGAGAGAAAGGCAAGAGTTTAAATACATCAGATAAGGAACTACCAGAATTAAATAAAAACATAACACCTTAAACTGTATACGTTTATTGAGGAGCCAATCCCAGCTGACGTCGGGCGAAAGGCGGGGTACACCCTGGACAGGTCGCCAATCCATCGCAGGAAGATCCAATAGATGCACCTTGTAAATATCCTCCAACTAAATAAAAAGAACCATATTCCCAGTGGCTTAATCTTATATTATATTAAATTATATATATATATATTTTAGAAATTTCAAGTCTGTCTCTATACTTGCATTCCCATTCAACAGTGGAAAGAGTTTTCAGGTAGTACTGCAAATGCTCCTGCTGTCCAAATAGTGATTCTAAAGTTACAGCCGTTTTGGTATGAAAGTCCTTTTTTGGGTTTACACTGCAGCTCAGCAATACAGTCCAGGGAAACACTATGAGAATTTCTTTATAAAAATACTAAATTTAGAAAATACCCACTTGATGTCACTAACTCAGACTGCTGAAGCCTTATATGATCTTCAGCTATACTGTAGCTTTTTGTTGCCTTTTCAGGGCACTGTATGAACAGGGAGAATGATGACAGCTATCAATATCTATATGGACATGTGATTATTGTTATTACATAGATGTGTGAAAATGTCAACATGACCTATACATATTATTTACTTTGGTCAAAATTCCAACAACTAAGATCTGAATACATATTTCAAATGTACAGAAACACGTTCAATTGAGCAGCTCAAACACACTGTCCATACACACAGAGACGTGCAACACCAGTCACTCTCCACAATCCCTGTGGGAAGCTCAAACCCCCGGGCTGTATGCATGAGTACTGCCTGTCCAACGAATTTCTGCCTGAGCTGTTCACTTAAATCACTGAATGATTTAAGGCCGTGGCTCTCCAGTAGATTCACATGGCATGTGGTTATACAATGCATAGGGGCTTGAATTGCTATGACTAACAATTAGCGTAGGAACGCTTGATGTGCTATTTTTGGCCCCTGTACCAATCACGGGTAAACTTGACATACCACATGACTCCACCAGCTTCTTAGTGGTAATAAATAATTAACACCAGTGGAAGAAAGCAGGAAAACACAGCTGTTAAAGGATGCTGGCTGATCATCTCCAGTTGTATAGCTAGCTGGAAACATAAGCCACGTCATGTTAGGGCAAATTGGCCTCAACGTGGCTGCAGAACATCCATCCTTTCCATTGTGTTGTATAATTCATGTTTCTGTAAGCTGTGCCCTGGGAGATGAGGGACAAACAGAAATGTGATGACATCAGCACGGCCATAAAAATACTTCATTGTCACCAGGAAATGTCTGGTGTCGGAGAGACAAATTGGATTGCAGGGCAAAGCCTGGAGTAGAATAGAGAGTGTGCTCTATTACCAGTGCAGTGCAATAATGTAGCAGGAGGCCATAAAGTAGCAGCAGAAAGGGTTTGTGTCCCAAAATGGAGCAACATGCTAGGAGGAAGCTTCAGGCGGGTGTTAATATAATTGATAGTGGAGGGTAAGAGGGAGGGATGTTTTGCAGTTTAACAAACACTAAAGCCTCTAGGCTCAAGACAACAAGAGAGGAATGTCAACCACAGGACAAGCAAGGAATGCCCCCACATCACTGACTATTAAAATAAGGAAACAGGACACTCAGAAGACAAAAGGATCTTGAGTAAGCCTGTTTGTCATTACATCACCTTAATAGTCCTCACTCCATCTGTCTGTGTCTGTCTGTCTGTCTGTCTGTCTGTCTGTCCTACACTTGGGTCAAGAGCACCTGATCCCTCCTACTGCCAGACTGCCATGCTGGTTGGCAGGGACGTGCACAGACATTTTATTTGGCAGTGGTTCAATAACAAAAAGGCATCCCTCCTCCTCCTCTACCTCCTCCTCTCATACTACTATTATTCATTTGTGTGCACACATTTGTTTGCTTTTCTCCATGACTCCATGCTCTGTAGAAAGGAGATGGATTTCAATATATAAATAGATATATTTTGACATATACCAAGATAAAGCAAAACTTATTTATAATGCAAAGATAGACAGTACTCTAACTTTAGTCTTTAACCACAGTCACTTTGAATCACTTTCAAATTAGCACATTTTGAGTTCTGAGACAGGCCTTTTTAATGCATCAAAATACTTTACAATAAGGCATACAGATAATCTTAGTAGCTATTTCCTGAATATCATCAAGGACTATACAGTAAATAATTATGAGGTAATGGAGAACAGTTTTGGGTGGGCACAAAATGGGTAAGCAATGGTAAATAATAATGGAGTAATAACAAAATGACCTAAAAATAATATGTATCGCTATTTTGAAGATGCATTTATTTATGTTCATCTATTTTTATTTATTTGCATAAACCAACATTCTCACAATTTAAATAAATGGCACCTCATTACTGCATGGATTGTGCTAAATTACAATACAATATGTTACAGAAATGAATCAGAAATATATAATATGCTTCAGTAGGTTTATAAGCAGTTGTTTGTTTTATATTTGGAATACAAAACAACGGTATATCCTATACTGCATACATTTATTAGGATAGCTAACGATACAGCAGAGCTAGTCTTTGCTTCTGCATTCCATATTCACATCACATATTATGTCCTCTCTTGACCCCTTTCATCTCCTGGCACAAATCTTTCAAAGAGGTCAAATAGTATGTAAAATTGTCTTTAAATACACAGAGGTTTGGTTCTGGTTGAGTTTGAGTGAGAAAACAAATCATGACATTTGAAAGATGTGATCATTAAATATATTTTGTGTCAAAAACAATAAAAACTGATCGACAGTTTAGTCCACATTGACTTCTGTTGTACCGACTGTGTTTTGAAAGAGTAATTCAGTATAGATGTCAGTAAATCACTTGCTCAGTTTTGTTCAATTCCTGGATGCCTATGGGATCATGAATATGTTATTTGATCCCATAGACACTCCACCAAATACATAAAAGGGATTTATTAGTTTCTGACTCTGGTAAAGTGGGAACAACAGTAAAATTCCCATACATTACCCGTGTCAACTCTCTTTAACTAAATCCCACACATTTAGGATATTCTATGTGATCTCCTTTTGATAACAAACGTAATGTATTTTCACTTCCGTTAACGAAATGGTTTGGAGTTCCCCCTGGGGATACCTGCCCACCACTTTAAAGACCTCTGGTATGGAGAAATCAGAATCAGATTTATTGCCAGGTATGTGTACACAAAAAGAGGAATTTGACTCAGGATTGTACATTGCTCACGATGTGCTTACTTATACAATAATACCATAACCCAATAATAAAATAATAATAAAATAAAATCGCACACAAACTACAGTAGACAACACTAATATACACACTATGAACAAAACAATATAGACATATTGACAAATAGTGCAGTGATCAGAGTGCAAAGGATGCAAGAGTAAACTATTATTCTCATTATGTACATGTTGAAGGTGGATATAATATACAGGTACAGATACACATACATGCATACATGTACACATGTACACATGTACACAGTGTGATGGAGCATAGTGCAAAGAATGCTGGAAAAAATAAATAAGACCTATGACCTTATGACCTGAGGTAGGTGTATTGGTATACAGTATATACAATATGACATAGTATGAACAGCACTGAAACAGAGAATGGTGAATAAATAAATAATAAGTGGAAACCAGTAAACAGGTGCTGATTAGAGGCAGAGTTACTGGGTTATTGCACAGGAATTGTTCCTGACACCGTGAGTCAGAAATCAGCTGTTCATCAGAGTGATGGCTTGTGGGAAGAAACTGTTCCTGAGTCTGTCGGTTTTGGCGTACAGTGCTCTGTAGCGCCTACCAGAGGGGAGGAGCTGGAACAGGTTGTGTCCGGGGTGAGATGGATCTGCAGTGATGTTTCCTGCCCGTTTCCTGACTCTGGAAATGTATAAGTCATGAATCAAGGGCAGGTTGGCACCGACTATTTTTTCTGCAGTCCTGACTGTACGTTGTAGTCTGAAATATGTGTAACCAGTTGTAAAAACAACAAACTGTAATGAGTTGTTCTTTGTTTTGTGCTTCTTGGTGGTTGTTTCAGGAACATTTCATGGAGAAAGTGCTCAGTATGTCATCTCACAGATATCTATGAACTTAACATTACTGTTCTCATTTGAATTATTAGCTACTATATAGTCCTCAGTCTGGAAAAACTTAGAGATTATAACTAGAGATTTTTTAATTACCCTGTAAGGTTGTTACTCATTCATTCCTTAGTAACTACTCAGAATCAGTAACAGTTTCCACAGTATAGACATTGAAAATTAATTATATAAGGAATCCCAGCTTAGTTTCAGGCAAACATACAAACCAACCTTAACTGCTAAAGGTTTAGGGGGGAAAATCCTTCTCAACTCAGTTACCGAAAGAAATGAACACTGCTACTTAAGATGATGACGTCAACTGAAGAACAGACGCTTACCATCGATTCCCATGATATAGCCCAATGATTGCTGTTTTTATTTCTAGGGTCAAGAGGGGTACATAGTCCTGAGAGGAGGATTCTTAATTATACTGGTGACCCCCCTGACCTTTTCATCAATGCCACCATTTAATTATATCTAACTTTCCGATTTCCGTAGAATTTACGGGGCAAAGGTCCTTTCTGTGCAGAGTAACGTACTCTACAGCTTTTAGGGACTTTTTGTGGGAATAAAATTAAAACAAATTGTTACCCTCGATATACAGATGCATGAAAACTGGAGGGGAAATTAAAAAAATTCTACATGAGACCTTTGACATTTGTATATTTGTTAAAGTTATTGTTCATCATTCCACCATTTATTTCCGTATGTAT